CACTGAGTGATGAACCAACACACTGAGTGATGAACCAACACACTGAGTGATGAACCACCACACTGAGTGAGTGACTGAGTGAACCAACACACTGAGTGATGAACCAACACACTGAGTGATGAACCAACACACTGAAGTGATGAACACTGAGTGATGAACACAACACACTGAGTGATGAACCAACACACTGAGTGATGAACCAACACACTGAGTGATGAACCAACACACTGAGTGATGAACCAACACACTGAGTGATGAACACATGTACTGAGTGATGAACCAACACACTGAGTGATGATGACTGAGTGATGAACACACTGAGTGATGAACCAACACACTGAGTGATGAACATGTACTGAGTGATGAACCAACACACTGAGTGATGAACCAACACACTGAGTGATGAACCAACACACTGAGTGATGAACAAATGCACTGAGTGATGAACCAACACACTGAGTGATGAACCAACACACTGAGTGATGAACCAACACACTGAGTGATGAACCAACACACTGAGTGATGAACCAACACACTGAGTGATGAACCAACACACTGAGTGATGAACCACAACAGTGGATGAACCAACACACTGAGTGATGAACCAACACACTGAGTGATGAACCAACACACTGAGTGATGAACCAACACACTGAGTGATGAACACATGTACTGAGTGATGAACCAACACACTGAGTGATGAACACATGTACTGAGTGATGAACCAACACACTGAGTGATGAACCAACACACTGAGTGATGAACCAACACACTGAGTGATGAACCAACACACTGAGTGATGAACCAACACACTGAGTGATGAACCAACACACTGAGTGATGAACCAACACACTGAGTGATGAACAAACACACTGAGTGATGAACCAACACACTGAGTGATGAAACCAACACTGACTGAGAGTGATGAACCAACACACTGAGTGATGAACACATGTACTGAGTGATGAACCACACACTGTGATGAACCAACACACTGAGTGATGAACACATGTACTGAGTGATGAACCAACACACTGAGTGATGAACACATGTACTGAGTGATGAACCAACACACTGAGTGATGAACACATGTACTGAGTGATGAACCAACACACTGAGTGATGAACCAACACACTGAGTGATGACACACAGTGATGATGAACCAACACACTGATGAACGAAATGTATGAACCAACACACTGAGTGATGAACCAACACACTGAGTGATGAACACATGTACTGAGTGATGAACCAACACACTGAGTGATGAGCACATGTACTGAGTGATGAACCAACACACTGAGTGATGAACCAACACACTGAGTGATGAACCAACACACTGAGTGATGAACCAACACACTGAGTGATGAACCAACACACTGAGTGATGAACAAATGCACTGAGTGATGAACGAACACACTGAGTGATGGGAAAATGCACTGAGTGATGAACGAACACACTGAGTGATGAACGAACACACTGAGTGATGAACGAACACACTGAGTGATGAACGAATGCACTGAGTGATGAATAAACACTCTGAGTGATAAAAGAATGCACTGAGTGATGGACAAATGCACTGAGTGATGAACAAATGCACTGAGTGATGAAAGAATGCACTGAGTGATGGACAAATGCACTGAGTGATGAACGAACACACTTAGTGATGAACGAATGTACTGAGTGATGAACGAACACACTGAGTGATGAATGAACACACTGAGTGATGAATAAATGCACTGAGTGGTGAATGAACATACTGAGTGATATACAAATGTACTGAGTGCTGAATGAACGCACTGAGTGATGAATGAACGCACTGAGCGATGAACGAACGCACCGAGTGATGAACGAACGATGATGGGGTGTACAAAGTGTCACCTTTCAGATGAGAATTCGCCAGGTCCCAGAAACCTCACTCAGCCACAAGGTTATGTTGAGGCTCCGGACAGTTACAAAGTTACCTGCACTTCTCGCATGCTGAGGCTCCGGACAGTTACAAAGTTACCTGCAGTTCTCGCATGGTGAGGCTCCGGACAGTTACAAAGTTACCTGCACTTCTCGCATGGTGAGGCTCCGGACAGTTACAAAGTTACCTGCACTTCTCGCATGGTGAGGCTCCGGACAATTACAAAGTTACCTGCACTTCTCACATGTTGAGGCTCCGGACAGTTACTAAGTTACCTGCAATTCTCACATGTTGAGGCTCCGGACAGTTACTAAGTTACCTGCAGTTCTCACATGTTGAGGCTCCGGACAGTTACTAAGTTACCTGCAGTTCTCACATGGTGAGGCTCTGGACTGTTACAAAGTTACTGCAGTTCTCACATGGTGAGGCATGATGACTCCAAGTGTTTGGAGGTCTGCATGGATGTTTTATCTCCACAATCTTCATGGTCTACCTCGTAGTCTACTGCCATTTAACTCTCTTGTGTATGGTTTTTGTCCCTTTCATCATCATATACCATTTCTCTGCACGTCCCAACCATTTCAGTAAATTAACCCTCATGATGCCAATGATCATTGGTGATTTAAACAGATTATGAAATTTCTTGCTGCTTCCCACTCTGTGTTCCTAACTGTGTGCATCTTTGATGGGTTCAAAGGTTTGTCGTGAGATGTTTTCAATTTGTAATAAGGCCTCACCTGTCTTAATTATGCTGCAAGCTTCTGCTTTGATATTTGTAATTGTATTTATTGAAATGGTAAATGACAGATCTGTTGCATCTCTCTGTGATTCTTGACTAGGCAAGCTTGGCAAGAACTGGGAGACATGTCTAAGGAAGAAGCAATGACAGAGTTTGTGAAAAAGATGGCAGATTCATGCTCATTGTTTGAGCCTTATGTGGAAGCCCACAAAGGAGATAAAGAGGAGGGAGATAAGTGAGTATCAGCTAGTCAGAACTGAGTGTGGTTCTTCATCATCATCACTGTCTTCATCATATGGCTTGCTAGCTGGTATAGATGATCACGCATCTCAGTAGCTTCTGTTCTCTGTGTCTCTTCTTCTCCTCCTCCTCCCTCCTCCTCCTTCCGCATTCACCCCTGAAAGGCAGTTGTTATTATGGTTTACAGCCAGGCTGTGACATCAGCGTTATTTAGCCCAGCACATCCAATTTTCACAAAACTCTAATGAGTCGCATTTCATTATACCACATGCTTGTAAGGGGACAGTGGTTCTTCCCCCCCCCCCCCCTCCCTCCTCCCACCCACATGTGGCCCCGGAACCTACATAGGGAGTTCTCCGTTAGAACGTTATCAGTTTCTCTGCTAACATTTTTCTGTTGTACAATAAAAATTTGTCAAAAGTCTCTGAGTACTTTTCTTTAACACTTTTTTCATTAATCTAAACTTTGTTTCAATGCTCTACAGACATCACTGGGCGTAAAATATATGTTTTTTTTTGGGGGGCTTTAGCATAAATACAATCTCAGTAAGGGAACAAGGAAGGTCTGCTATTTTTTACCCTTGGGTAGCAAAATCAAATGCTTAACTTTCTCCAATAAGAAAAAAAAATTGAGTTTTCTGTGGTAAATTTTTTTTTTCACTACAGCAAGCTCAAATTTCTTCAGGAGTAAGCAACAGAATAAAAAGTAGGGCACAGCGATGAAATGCCCAAATCCTGATTAAAATAGAATATTTATCACAGGTGACACTACATTCTACTGACCTTGGCTCCCAGGTTGACCTAGCCTTAAATGGGTACCAGATAAAGTCCTGGGGAGCAAAAGCCACCAGCATGATGTTGAGGGCATCACCCACTGAGTGCTGATTGATGAATAAAGTATAAGTCTAATCATATGTGCCCAATATATGCCTGAAGGCGTGGAAAAGGGTCCTTTACTTTACTTACACTACACTTTAATGTGGATGTGGAAATCTAGGGAAAACCACCACACTAATGTCACTTGAATAAGTTTATGGGCAGACACACAGCATTATTTATTGTTGGTAAGACAAGTCTCAGCCTAAATGTCCAAACACACACACATGGCACTGTCGTTTAATTAATAACAAAGCTAGGCCAGTGAGATACCTCATAGAGGCTTGAACCCTGGTCTTCCTCAGCAGTATTATGGGGGTGTTTTATTGCTCTGTCTAACACTAAAAACTTGTATGCCTTTCAAAAAAAAACAAAAAAAAGCTCAGAATGGTTTGCTAGCTATGTTTCGGTAGTTATGTATAAACAGTGGTTAAAATTCTCATATCGATCCCATTTTATCCATTTAAATACCATTTTTTTTTAATTTCCACCCTGCCTTTTATTACTATTACTGCTGCTGCTACTACTGTAGCCATTATTTTTATTACTTTATTGTTATTGTTATTATAATTACTATGATGTTGATTCCCAAATCAGTAATCAGTTATAGTTATTACTACTGTTGTTATTTTAAGTAGTAGTATTGCTATTTGTGCTCCTTTATTTAAGTTTCGTATTGCAACATGCCTTTCTTTTCCCATATTTTATATTATGGTATAACTGTTCACATGTTTCCTCTTTCGGAAACTTGTTCCTAGAATTCTTCTTTTTTGTCGTCGTACTTGTTGATAAAGGCTTTAGTCAAAATGTTCAGTTGTTTCCCTGCGTGTTTTTTTTTCTTTTTCCTCATTGAGCTTCTTAATCAGTGTTCATTGATTGAATATGTTTTGTATAAATAGTACTTGTTATGAGACTGTGAGCCTTGGCCCCTTCTGAGCTGCACTTTTACCTCATTATATCGCAGTTGTTTCTTCAGTTTCTTTTGTCCCACAGTGTTATCCTTTGAACCTCTTCAGTCCAAACAGCTACTGCTTAAGAAATGAATAGTGGAAGACACCCATAACTGGGACTGAATGAGTTAACTTCTGCATAATTCACAATGTATAAGAACAAGCTTTTAGGTTCTCAGGTCATATCTTTATCAAAAATATGTAAACTTTGTCTGGATTTGTCAGATAGCTTGCTAATGCTGCTGTCGTTTTCATATTTTGGGAACCAGATTTTTCAATAACATGTTTAAATAAAAGACAGTGTGATTTTATATAAGGTTCATATTTTGAGAATAAAATGTATAAACTTAATGTTTGAATAGAAGACAGAGGACAATAGAAGTTTGTATATAAAGTAGTGGTTTTCAACCCTTTTCAGAAAAACATTCACATAAATCAAGTGTATCAAATAACATTTTTAAAAAACAGCCACCAACAACTTGTAATTTAGTGTCCAAAAATCAGCATGATGGCTGGAATGTGTTTTTTTTTAAATGAAATCTGCTGTTTTTGGTTTGTTGTTGGACAAAGCACATCACATTTATAGACCACTATCAACATCAAGCTGGCTGTGTTGTTCTGTTTATAAGTACAGATATACTCAGTTTCAAAATTGCTTGATGCTGGTCTTAAAACTCCCCCCCCCCCCCCCCCCCCCCCCCCCCCCCCCCCCCCCCCCGGTTGAAAACCACTAAAATAAAGCAACTAAAAGAGATTATAATTTTGTATGTTGAATTTAGAAGAGAGTAGCTGGAGTTGATGTTGTTCTAAGTTTATTTTTTTTATAAAAGTTCATGTGTTTTAGATGGAAGTAAAATAGGGGTAAATATACCCTTGTGTATGCTCCTGCTGTATTCGTATTTTGGGAGCCATGCTGGTAGAGTGGTCACTTTACTTGCCTGTGAAGATGGTGAGCTGGGTGTTGAGTTCCCAGCAGAAGCAGGATTATTTTCTTCCAACTAGAACAGCCCTGGGTCGGTTCACTCATCATTCATTGTCCTGTTGTGTCATTATATGTCACTTAGGGCTTGCAGTCTGTTTCTCTATTCCATTCTATCATTAATAATCCCTTCGCTGTCATGGATGGAATCCGGGTCCAGCACCTTTGGCCTCTTTCATCAGCATTCGTTTTCAGGTTTCTTTTGGATGTCCTCAGTTCTTCAGTCACTTTATTTTCCCATGTTAGTGATTCTTTGGAGATTCTCTGCTCATTTCTTCTCAGAATGTGTCCAGTATATAGCTTTCTTTTGTGTCTTATAACTGTTGAAGCCAGTGGCTGTCACCTCAGTTCTCTTATTTCCCCCTCCCCTTCCCAATCTCATTCCATTTTATGTTCAATATTTTTCTCAGACATTTTCTTGGAGTCAGTTAAACCTCATAAAAATCCAAAGCAAACAAATTTGATAAATTGTGTTAGATTGAATTGTCTGTGAATGGGAAGCTGAGAAAGGTAACTGGTCACCCATCCCAGTGTGTTGTGGCTAGGTTTACGTGTTCAACACCCACTCCCCCGGACAGTGGCAGTATTTGCTATGGGACTGTTCCCCCTTATAGGGCCCCATAGGCAGCAGAATAGACCCACTGCCCCCTTAACAAGCATGTTGTAAGAGGCGACTAATTAGGGGTGTTGCCTTTGAAGTCGGTGTGTATCTGCCTGAGAGGTGAGGAACCTAGCTGTCTGCATACAAATAAACCAGATCTGTAAGACGAATATGCATGCAGAACTCAAGTTTTGGAACAAGACCACAGTCCAAAAGGTGACGAACAACCAGAAATTTTCCTTGGAGTTTATATAAGGTGTAGGCTAAGAAGTAGTCAGTATGGGTCTAAAGTTAATACCCTTTATATTCCAGAAGCATTTCGGGTATATGATGCGGGTCTCATATGTTTATAAACTAATCAGCACTCAGGGTGTGATGTGGCCACCATCCTGCAGGCCATCCTCACTTCCCAGGACATTACCTCTTATCTTTTTAGGCTGGTGCTGTCTGATTACCTTTTACATTTGTTTTAGTTATTTTACATTTACAAAAGCATAACGGACTAGACTATGAGTCCTATGTGACATATAACAAACTACATAAAGATGATGATGATGTTACACTTATGCAGTTGTTATACCAACCAACTCACCAAATGTTTGTCAATGACCCCTTCTTATGTCCTCTTTCCCCGGCTGTGCCTCTCAGCATCAGTTTAGGTAAAACGTTTTGGACCATGCCTTTGTGCTGGCTGCGAACCAGGTGTGTTCACTTAACTGTAACCAGCACATCTCTGCTTACTGAACTCAACAATCACAGGCAGTCATTACACTAGCACCTTCTCTAATAGGCTGTTTATAGTTGCATTTATTCTGTCCTAGCTGTTGCTTTGATGCCTGATTATTATAACTTTGATATAACGTTTGTCTGGGTTATAAAGAGAAGAGAAGTCGTTTTTTTATTGTAAAGATGTAGAAATCTCATTTAAAAGTACTTTGCAAATAAATGTATTTCTTTAGGAAAAAATAAATGAGAGAAGTACTGTCTACTCTTTGATGGTTTAGGATGATAAGGAAAGTAAATAGTGGTCGTGTTGAATCTTTTCCCAGTATTTTATTTTACTCTAACTATTAGTGTTTTAAAATAAATCTTTAGACCCATCAAAGATGCAAACAGCAGATAATGGAGAGTAAGAAGCAACAAGAAAATGCATAATTTGTTTAATTCACTGCTAATTACTAGCATCATGAGGGCTAACAGACTGAAATGGTTGGGGCATATAGAGAGAATAACAGAAAAAGGAGAGTCAAAAACTGCGTACACAAGGAAGTTAAAGGAGAGTAGACTACGAGGCAAAAAAGAGAACGGTAGAGAGGAAGAGGTAATGTACATGCAAATCTGCAAACACTTGAAGTCACTAACTGAAAAAAAAAAAGACAAATCAGAGAGATGAATGATTGGAGGCGGGGATATCTGTGGATGAACCTTAAGAGCTCGGAATGCTAAAAAAATGATAAATTTAATTTTCATTAAAAAAAAAAAAAAAGCAACAAATGTACTCACAAGTTAAATTAAAATGTCACACAGACTGCGAATACAAATTATGTTTTCAGTTGATATTAACAAAGGAGATGAAGTAGAGAAATTAAC